TTTTAAGATTATTCTTTTATCCTCTTGAAGAAAACATATTCAATTATAATTTTGCTTTGTTGAAGTTTTGCTACAGGTTTATGTCTCAAAAAAATGAGCAACAGTTTACTGGCCGCGATGCCTATCGACGATATCAAAAGGTAATTGATGCTTATCTTTTCCTATGATTTTTGCTCTTATTCATATTGGTACTAGGTATTAGACTTACTGAAACTTAAACATCCCCTGTTTTTGCTTCTTTTGGGAGGCTCCTTTAAGGTACAAAGCAAGCTTTCTCCTCGCCTACTGTAGTGTGTTCTCATTACTATGTGCAGCAAAAGTGGTGTCGTGATGTTTCACGACACAAAACTTAGATGATGATACTACTATCAGGAGCACCTAAGTGTAGCCTTGATTTAATGAGCAGCTCGCTAAAATATATGTCATCCATGTGTATCCAGTGACCAATTAAATGGCTGGCTTGTTGTCTATGTAAACATATATGTGTTATCCATGTATTTTTGTTCATTCTTTTCTTGTCATATATATGTATATACTTTCGGTGGGAGATTTGGAATGAATAAATATTAAAAACAATGATATCTAGGGGAATGGATGAAAATATCGTGCAATGACATAATGGAATATAGTAAAATTTTACTGTTACTCAGAGGGTAAAATCATCATTTTTGTATGGAACCTAATAGTATAACACACGCTCATACATATGTATAACAGTATAATGAATCTCCAAACATCAGGATTATAATATCTTTTTGTAGTAATAGTATAACAATATAACACGCTCATACATATGTTATCGTGATTATTATGTTTTTCGTCTGCAGCAGCCCAGTTCTCGCCGGCACACGACCGAATCCGATGAGCGCACGTGCATCCGTGCCACGGGGGAAAAGCGGAGTAGAAGAGAGGACTAGATCGAGAGTATCACTGCGCGTTTGGTTATGGTGGAAGTGGACTCTACTCCCATCTCCCCTCACCCTCACTGGTAGCTGCTGCTCAACAGCTGAAGTGCCTGCTGAGGATAATGTATTTGTGATTGTGGGTTATGCGTAGTTTGATCTTTTCTCATTTTTATCCTAAAAATATTACCGTTTTTAAAATGTTAATCCAAAAATATTATGAAGCATCACACGGACCTGCGCTTCGGTTAACACATTTTTATAATTATTATCATGGTATATTATATTGCCTTATTTGTTGTTTTTCTAATTATATAAAATAGATAAGTTATACTAATCCTGACTCTCGATATCCTTCTCTTCCAGAAAATGTGTACTTAAATAAAAAGCCCAGAATACCATAAAAGATACCGTGCGAAAGAAATGACTATTGCGATTGGTGTATATGAGAATCTAAAATACAACTTACCACAGTGCAGATACGTAAGTCACTTGCTCCTGCTTTTGTTATTTGTTTCCTATTATTATAATCTCTACTGTGTTTATAGTTTCTTTTGTCATGGCTACACGTTTGAAAAAAATATTCTTTCGCCCTATTCTTCAACACTACTTCAATAACTTTTCAGCGAATGAACAGCCCTCTCACAACAAATCAGCATAAGCATTAGCATAAGCCAAATTTTCAGCGAAACGAACAGGGCTATTTTCGACCTGTAGAAGAAGACGCTTATCATGATTGACTCTAGACCTGTTGAAAAGTGATGTAAAGGTACACCAGTGCTGATGTATGTCAGGCAAACTCTTGTATTTAACTTATAGTACATGGCCACAGTGAATGTACATAGTCCTAGATGGAACAAGGATATCTTCAAATAGAAGTTCATCAGTGAAAAAACATTGCAGATAACAAAGATAGGTAACATTATCTTTGTTCTTGCAGATGAGATTTATTTTTGCCAATATAAAATATTGTCTTAGCTACATCACGAAAAGATCTATACAGTAGAGTTTGTGAGTCTACGACGTCGCGCTCTTCATGACTGTGTTAATTACACGAACTTTGATTTTTAGATTAAATGTAACGTCGGTATTTAATTTTACAGTATTATTATCTTATCGTGTGATCCATGTGTTTTTAATAAAAAAAAGTTTAGCTGTCTCGTAGCCACGCATGGACACGAACTTAGTAAGTTTAAAAGTTAAGGAATGTTAGTAATCGACACCGAGCAGACTATTGTAAAAGTTGAGGGGTAATCAGACTAGGAAAACGTCCACATTACCTTCCTCAAGTTTTGCGAAAGTCTGTTTTTCCTCCCAGAACTCTAAAATCAGGTAAAACACCTCCTGAACTTTTAGAACCGTTCGTTTTGTCTTTTTTCTTTTTTATTTATTTTGGTTGAATCTTTAAAAAAAATATAGTAAATCATAGAAAAATCATAAAATAGAAAATCCAATTTTGTTGGACTCCACGTGAGTAGATCTACACAGTGAACATATAATATGGTGTGCTTTAGTACAAATTTTTTGATATAGCTTTAGATGTATGCTTTTCTATAATTAATTCAGAGCAACAATTTTATGGGCCAATTGTGTTGAAATTTTTTTATGGTAGGCTAACTATTGTATGCTTGAACTATAGTAAAAATTCCATATTCATTGGATCGTGTATAATTTAGTTATAGATTTATTTAGGTGTATGCTTGTTAAAAAGTATTTATAAAGATACTATTGGAGTTACTCTTGGAATGCAGGACAAATAAGTTTAAAAGTTAAGGAATGTTACTAATCCAATTACATATAATTTTTTGACTTGAGAATCAGTAATCCAATCCAATTATATAAATGAGCGGGAATCAGACTATTGTAAAAGTTGATGTGGGTTAAAAGCACCAACGGAGGGTCAGTTTATTCCGAGGCCCACCCCACTCTAGAAGTTCTCGATCAGAGCCCATGGCGATCCGGCCCAACGCATAGCCCTCCCGCTCCGGCGCCGCCATCATCCCTTCCTCAACCCACCAACCTCGCAATTCCAAGTTCCAAGTTCCCCCAACCTCGTCGACTCCAGTGAGTGATTTAGCGCCAGGGCGGCGGCAGGATGTCCGGCGAGGAGGAGGAGAACGCTGCGGAGCTCAAGATCGGCGAGGGTCCGCTCTCTTCCACGCCGCCCTCCATCCTCCCCCTCTTCCCCTCTCAACCACCGTCCAGTCCTTGGGCGGGCGGCTAGGGTTTCGTCCCTCTCGAGCTCGACTCACCCGTAAGCCTGTGGCTGCAGAGTTCCTGAAGGCCAAGTGCCTGATGAACTGCGAGGTGGCGATCATCCTGGAGCACAAGTACGAGCAGATCCAGCAGCACTCGTCGGAGTCGGACCCGTCGTCGCAGGTGTCCCAGGTGTTCGAGAAGTCGCTGCAGTACGTGAAGCGCTTCAGCCGCTACAAGAACCCCGACGCCGTGCGCCAGGTCCGCGAGACGCTCAGCCGCTACGGCCTGGCCGAGTTCGAGCTCTGCACGCTCGGCAACCTCTGCCCCGACACCAGTGGCGAGGCCACCGCGCTCGTCCCCTCCCTCAAGTCCGGCGGCAGGTTCGTCGGCGACGCCGGGGACGAGAAGATCGAGAAGATGCTCAACGACCTCTCCCTCATCAAGAAGTTCGAGTAGACTAGCTAGCGCCCAGGGTCCGTCCGTGCCCCCCTCTTCTCTTCGAATATCATCAAGAGAGAATTCAGCATTACTACGTACTAATTTTTTTCTTACTACTTGTTCAGGTTCACGTTAACTTGATGTGCTGCTCGATCTCCATCGTGATCTATTGATGCAACCTTGTTGGTCGATAATTCAAGATACTAGTAATACATGTGTGGTTGATTGATGATCTGTCTGAAATTCTACAATCCATGGCCATGCCCTGTTCTCTTCTTCAGTTCCTCCAGTTGTACCAGTAGGGCTCTTGTAATCAAGAGAGAGAGTTCAAAGATCAAACGAAATGTACTGATTCTCTTGCTATTGTTCAGGTTCATATTATCTTCATCTGCTCTCTGTATTCATGTATGAATGGATTAATGCAACCTTGTTGCTTGATAATTCAAGTTACTACTTACTAGCACATGTGTGATTGAGCTATATCTGAAATTGTTTCTATTTTCTACATGAAACGCCTCCATTATGTGAATCTCTCGAGCCCCAATAAAACACCCCTCTCCCTCGGACTCAATCTGAATAATAGAAGGCCTTTGATGGAAAGCAACCTTTCCTGGTCTTCTGTGTACTAGGTGAGAAGAACGAGACAAGTGCTTGGATTCTGTTCTGTACACTTCACATTCAGTATAACTGCTACCCATGGCAGGTTCTGCTCTTCAGTTCCTCTAGCTGTAGGACTCCTTTAAGAGAGAAATGTACAAAATTTCTTACTAGTACTCAGGTTGACGTTATCTTCATCTGCTCCCAGATCGTGTTGTACGAATTAAATTAATGGACGGAACCTTGTTGGTCCATAACTCAAGTTCATTACCTTCTCAGACATGGTTAAGTTCCATACGTATGGTTGATGTTTAGCAAAGGTTCTTTCCTGAGCTTGCTGTCACCTTATATTAGTGCTCAGGTTAGAGAGGTGCTTGGCTTCCTGTTCTGTAAACTAATATTATATTGTTCATCATCATTGCTACCTCTATTACAGTGCGGATTGTTAGTATGAACATCAAGTATAGATAGAAGAACACAAATCCTATCCAGGCACAGCTAGCATGGAGGACTCTTGATGTAAAGTTTATCACATATATGCACTAGGAATCCAAGCTGAGCCTAGCTCTGAACCACACTTGACCTTGAATTTGGTACATCTGTGACACTTACAGTAACTAAACAGCTCAGGACACATGGAGCTCACATCTTACATATGTATGTATATAGTTACAAGTGACTCATTCTTGTGCCACATATGTACTCAACCAATCCATAAGGAAGATTGTACGAGGCCATGATTCATTCATATCATTAGCTAGTACTCGAAGACAGTAACAAGTGAGGATGCTTCCTCTTTCATGGGCGGGAGGCGCTTCATGGCAGGAAAGAGAGGTCACTTGCCATGCTCTTTTTTTTTTCTCCCTACGAGCACCAGTTCCAGCAGCCAAACGAAGGCGGCACCCGGCCGGTTCTCCTGATGTGCTCTGCCTGTTCAGCCGTCCTTGCAGCTGCACGGTTCCTTTTCAGCTCTGCAGCGGCACGCTTCTCGTCTGCGTTGTGCCTCGCCGATGCGAGCTGGGTCATCAGCTTGTCTTGTGCACGGGCACGCATCCGCTCCACCTCAACCTTCAGGAAGACACAAATCACAATGCCATGATTAAAATTATGGATACGATTATACAAACAATGCAGTATTCACAAAAATGGTGACAAAAATATCTGAACTTTTACTCCTTGGTTTTACATGTTCTGAACCTGAACATATATTACAAACTGAACAAAAGAACTGAATAAGAGTAGCAGCACAACAACGTTGACTCGTTCAGTAACCAGTATACTTACCATCCTATATCAGAATAAACAATACTTTAACTTGCTATGTCATATCCAAATGGATACTAATACCACAACTGCTATGCTGATTCAATAGAAAATTGCTGTCCTGGCTGTAAGTACTATCTCGTGCTAAATTTCAAAACAAAGATTAGAGAAAGCATCACATCTTCACGGGAGTGACCAAATAACTGCAGCCCAAAGGGCAATGACATTGAATTCAGATAAATAGGAGCTGCAGGAGGTGTGAGAGGCTGCAAATATTTTGCCTCTGTGTTTAAGCTTTTACAAGTTGCACCAAGGCACTTACTATTAACAGAGCTAGGATAACTACTTTGAACAAGCTTCCCATGAAGGGATTGTTGTATCCATATGCATTTTGCAAATGTTGTGGCAAAAAGAATAAAACAAGGTTGCTAAAAAACTCAAGAGGTAGAAAATGCATCTTAGTAACTTGCAGAATTTGTAAGGGATCTATTGTCATTGTTATGTTTGTGTTGACGTGCAAAATTGACAGGAAATAATCTGCTAACCTCAATTTTTCTCATTTCAGCTTCTATTTGGGCTTTCTGATGATCCTCCCAAGCCTGGATCTTGATCTCTTCTCGTTTGAATCTGGAGAGTAAAAAGCAAAACATATTAAGTCACCGAGGACCAGAGAATTCAAACATAGATAATAAAGACAATGAGATATAAGCACCTTGCTAAATATTTGGCCTTCTCTGCCTCTTCCCATGCAGCTGCACGGATTGCAGTTATGTTCTGTGTTGATTGGTCCACGAGCACTGTTTTCAGTGAAAGTGATGCATCTTTTTCCTCTTCCTTCTTGCTTGCCCATGCTGCAATATTGGTCTTACCTAGCTGTGTGCCAAGAAGCATTATCTCCCTCCTAGTTTTTGTTTGCAGTTCCTGTTCACTTAATTCCGAATTGCTATATTCTCCGTGGCTGATAACAGCACTAATTGCATTGGGGCCTAACGTCCTTCGTGGAGTTGTTGGCCGAGAACAATTTGGACTCGTTGCTCTCACCGGTGTTCCTGTCCGAGATGGTTCTTGGCTTGCAATAGGAGTCATTTCTGTGCCCATATCCCTCATTGACACTGACCGAACTGTCGATGGAGGAGGTATGCATGTTGTTGCACTTTGAAGCGTGGTGGATGCATCATGACGGTTAAAAGTAACTGCATTCATTAAAAAAGTTTGCATCTATGAGTGCTACTTTTCCAGTTAGAAGAGACCGTGGGGAACAAAATCATATTATGAGGGGAGGGCTAAGTGAGCAATACAACGCTTACCAGCCGAAGCAGCCATTGTACTTTCTGCAGCAAGTGTAGTCTTTGGACAAGGCTCCACTTCCGGACAGGGGTCGGGCGGCGCCCAACTCACCGCTTTCTGCCACCCAATTTCCCTCTTCTCTTGGCTTGGATCAATCCTCTTAGTATCTATCTCCTCTGTGGCCTCCAACACAACCTTGGTCGCTGGCAACCTCCCGATGCCAGCGCTAGGCTTCTCTATCTTCTTAGGTACAGGAGCCCCACCGCCACCCCTGCTAGGACGGTTTGTCGTCGGGCTGGCGATCCATTTCTGTGCATCGTCCCACTTTGATGGTGCAGGCTTTGAGAATGGAGGGACGACCGATGCCGCCGCTGACCGGGCGGTGGCCCCCCGCTCCTTGTGGAACTCAAAGTTGGACGCCACGCTCTCGGAGTCGCACGAGTCCTCTTCGGGCACCCTGATCCTAGAGCCCATGGGGACGGGGTGGGCGTCTCGGGACCGGTGCCCGCCCCCTGTCTCCAGGGAGGATGAGGACTCTGAGATGGTGCTCACCACGTCGACGTCCTTGTATTCTTCGCACACAGTGCCTCCGCCACCTACATGAGAATACAGTCATGCAGTCTCAGACTCTGAAATCAACCGAAGGTTCAGGCAAGCACATTGTCTTGTCCCACAATTTGAGTTCAGCTACCCTCTGAAGTACACTAGTACATGGCTATCGCACTCTTAAGTGAAGACAACAGAGTATGAGAAGATTCTCCATTCCCCTTCCCCTTTGGGTACAGAGGTGCCTCTACTTGACAGAAAAAAGATGGCTCTGCATATCCAGACTAGTACACTAGCAATTACCGGTAGATGTGTATATTATGGTGAGGAAAAAATCATGATGAACAATGACGACCTAAACTGCTCCCCGCATTGGCACTGTCCACGGAATCAATTTGCCCTATCCAATTCCAAGAAGCAATGCCAATGCAGCAGCCCATCCAAGGAACCCACAATAATCCGAGACGAAGCAAAGGACGAGATCGGCAACAGCAGCAGGCAGCAACGCGAGGGGTGGGAGTGGGAATGGGAAAATCAAAACGGGGGAGGCAGGCGGAACGAAGCAGAAGCACCCACCGTCGCCGGCGTCGGATCTGGCGTGGTCCTTGGGCACGACGCCATAGTCGCCGCCGCCGTCGTCCTCCTCCTCGTCGGCGCCGCCGTCCTGCTGCCCCTTGCGGCGCTTGTCCACCCCCAGCAGCATCGCGCGCAGGCGCTTGGGCGAGAACCCGCCGCCCTGCTGCAGCAAAGCAAGCGACACACACAGAGGCAGAGAGACACAGCAGCGCTCCCGCATTACTCATCCTGGTACCAGACCGAGCCCAACGGACAGAGAGAATCTGTATGGGGAAGAAAAGGCATGTAGGCATGTAGCAGCAGCAGGGAGGTAGGGGGGCGGAGGGACCTGGACGGGGAACGGCTTCTCAATGCGCTCGTACTCCATGGCGGCGGAGATCTGCGTCGGCGGCGGCGTGGCGCGTGGGTGGCGAGAAGAGAGAGAGAGAGAGGGGAGGGGGGGAGGAGATCGAAGGGACGGAAGTGATGAGGTGAGTGTAGTTTTGACCGCCCTTTGACGGACGGGACCCCCAGGATGACTCTTCTGCCCTCCCAGGTTGGCGAAAATTTACCCCCCGTGCCACACTGTCCCAGACGCCGAGCCCGAGGGCAGGACAGTAAATCGCTGGGGCGCAGGACGAGACGTGAGGTGGTGATTACAACCTCACCGGCAACGGCCACTCCCGGCCGCCCCCCGTCTCTCTCTCCTCGTCGTCGGGCCGCCCCAGCCACGCGCGCCTGGGGACCCCGCTTGTCGGCCCCACATGGAGGTGGGTGATGTGGCGAGGGGTACGGAAGGGAAGGGAAGCATCGTCGTGGCGCGGGGACTGGCTGAGGTGTGCTCGCTGCCTGTGGGCCAAACCGTTCCAATCATGCTGCTCTTGTTCTTGTCAGTTGTCACTAGCCAGCCTATGTGGTGATTGGTTAGTGAACTGAAGCAGCTTAGCTGCAGATTAGTGGGTGAGATCATCCGTTTGTGCCGGTGCTTTATTATGCATTAGAGCAGGTGTCTGTTCAGTGAGGACCACTGATGGCGATGCAATGCAACATGACTGACGGGGTCCGACCACAAGAACAGGTCATTCAGAAGTTCAGAGCCATCTGATCCAAGGTTTTGCTACTTGTTGACGGCTGGATCTCCAGGAGTGTTTGGCTCGTGGTTTTAAAGTCGGCTAATGCTATTTTGCTGTGAGAGAAAAAAAACTGTATATGGCAGTTCTTCTCCGAAGTGGTCATCACCGTGGCTTCATCACCAACGGCTGGTTTCCTCTACTAAACTTTAGTCGCTGTTGTTTGTAAAGAAGAATAGACTCAAGCCACACTCTGTATTAATTCACTGGCATGTACATTTATACAACAGGCGAGGCTCAGCTCGTGATCTCCCTGATCCTACATACAAGGAGCGGATCCTACATACAAGGGAGACTAGGCCAGCTTCTGCCGTTACTCGAGCACATGCTCGTCGTGGGCTCGTCGTGAGCGCGCTCTGCGCGCGTGCAGCGGCGACTTCGTCCTGCTGTGCGCGCTCCGCGCGAGGCCGTTGGCGATCAGTTCCTCAGCGACGCAGTCTCCGTTATCAGTTTGGACACATACATGGAGTATTAAATATAGACTATTTGCGAAACTAAATACACAGATTGAGATTAATTTACGAGACGATTTTTTTAAGCCTAATTGGTCCATGATTTGACAACGAGTGCTACAGTAAACATGTTCTAATGACGGATTAATTATGATTAATAAATTCGTCTCGCGGATTACTGAGGGAATCTATAAAAAAAATTGTTAGTATCGGAACACCCTGTACAACATCCTATATAGACACATCCTCAAACTTTAGTTCTTCCGTCCAAACACCCCCCTCTAATTCGCATAGTCGCATGCTTGTCTTCACGACACGTGGTTAATTAATTAAAGGCCAGTATTAAGCACAAGCAGATGCACATGAGCAGCAATGCTGACAAACCTCCCATTCGCTACAGCTACAACTAGCAGGCCTTGACAGTAGAAAAAAGGTGTTATCTACCCGAAAGAAATTACATCCCACTCAAACACATCCACGGCATAGCAGTGAAGTTGTTCAGCAGATCACAACGTTGGGGAGGCTAGTTGCTTCAGGGGAGTCGGAGAGAGCTGAAAGGGCAACCAACTTTGTTACCCAGGAGAAACTTCAGATTGGAAACAGCAGAACGAAGATGATGAAACTTTCTCATGTGTGAATCGGATACGACCTGCATTTGGTGGCCATGGGAGGAAGCTCACAGGAAATCTTGAGGCTCGTTTCAATGGTGGGTTTCAGATATTCTACTTCAAGGTCTGATGAGCGCGTGGACATCATGTTTTTTGGAAATATAAAAGCATGCCTTTTTCGAGGAAGAAATGGTTACGCTCCTTCACTTCCATCTGCACAACCATATCATGGTTGGAAACAAAAAGACAAAGGACATCAATCAAGCATAAATCTAGAGAACATAAAATTTAACAATGTCATTATGAATTTTAGTGCTAATTTGGCTATCTAACAATATATAAATATGCATAATTTAGCAAATTCATATAAAATGTTGAGTACAATTCCTATGACTTATTTAATTTATTGGACACTGTAACAATGTTGAGTACCTTTTCAAAACGAGGGGGTGATTAGAAACAATAATGTTCCTCCTGCGGCTGAGACGGCTGTGCTTCAAAAGATTTAGCATGTTGAGGTATGACACCTTCCATCTTTGCCATAGGAAATAGAAATTTGAGAGTTTTCTTTTTTCGAAGTGCCAATAACCCCCCATGGAGAACCTTTCACTGCTCCAAAACAGATCAGTAAATATAGTTCAATACATAGGTCATCAAAATAGCTTTTCAAGGCACTAAATAAAAGATATATATCCATAAAGAACAACTTCCTGTACCTCTCATGTAAGGCCGAATCTTTAGGTTGCCAGGTTCATGTGGATTCAAAGGTTTCCATGGATCCTCATCATCAGAATAATCTCCAACAGGATCCTCTATATCATCTGGGTGAGGCATTTCAACATCATCAACAAAGTTAGGTTCATCAGGATCAGACCAATGTTTGTCATCTGGACTGGTTTCTTGAGTTGAAAATTGTTCAGGATTCTCCTGAGTTGGATCTAGACCTCCTAGGACTTCTCCAGCAGCCGATTGACGACCTTTGCCCGCTGATCTTGCATTTGGGGTAGTGAAAACATTGGCTTGGCTTTTAGAAGGCGCTGAACTGCCTTGACGAGGCACACTATTTTCTTCCCCGGCAACCACCACCGAAACCTTCATGGTGCGCATTGTATCCTCAACCACCAAAACCGCCATGCTAGAAGCCACCGGCTTACTCCCCACATACGCCCGCGTCGCTCCCCCATGCGGGGCGACTCGGGCGGCCCCTGCCGCGCCACCTCCCTCTCACCCCTCTCCTCCTCGCCTGCCGCGCCGCCACCGGAGCTGGCTGCCGGCATGGCCGCCCGGGCGGCTGTGATGGTGGCGGCGGGGCTCTCCCTCCTCGTGTTGGAGGCGCACCTGCAGCAGGCCGGCGGTCCAGCCCCGCGTGACCGGCGTGGAGGTTGACGAGGTGGCTGCCGCGGCTGCTGCAGCGCCGGCTGGTGTCCGTGCAGACGCAGGGGACGACGGCGAGGTCTTCTTCTTCTCCGTGTGTTCCCCTTCTCCTCTCTTGATGGCGGCGGCGGCGCTGGCTGAGGCCGCCGGTCCGAGGCCCAGTCGGCCAGATCCGGTGCCCGGGGGGCTAGATTTGGACCCCAGGCTGCCGGATCTGTCTTGGCGGCCGGCGGCGGTGGCCGGGGCCCATGCATGCGCTGGGGGCGGTGCTTTCTTCTCTGTCGTCCCTCCCCTCATGGCCTTGGCTGCTGCGGCTCAGGGGCTGGCTGTGCCCGGGGCAGCGACCTCTGCCGGCCAGCCTGCCCGCGGCGGCTGGTCTGGCGGCCAAGGCGAACGGTGTCTGCAATGGTCAAGACGGAGGCGTCGGCGTCGGTAGGGGGCGCCGGATTCGGGACCTGGCGTCCGGATTCGACAGCCCCAGGACATGGGGCGGAGCCCGACATGGTGGGGCACTCTGGCGGTGATGACGGCAGCGACATCGGCAGGTGCCATAGCCGACGACGTTGGCCAAATGCGGCCCGCTCAGCTCCAACGCTTCCAGCAGCAACGCGGGCGCCTGCGCGTCGGCCCGACCAGTAGCTCACTGCCGACGCTGACACCAGCTCGCCGCATGCATTCCGAGCCTAGCTCCTGAATCGAATCCCGGTTTTGTTCAAGAAACAGTGGAGGACGCTGGAGGCGGCGGGACGACGCAGCGGACGGAGTAGAGACGATGCAGTTGCTGGTGTGGGCGGCCCGGGCGCCGTGGCTGCAGTTGCTCACGACGAGCGCGTTCTGCAGGCCGGGCGCGTAGCTGTCCGAGAAGAGCGCGTCGACGGAGGCGTTGAGCCGGCGGGAGCAGTCCGAGCGCGCGCGCCGGGGTGACGTTGCGCACAGGCAGGCTCAGGTTGTGCGCCGGCGCCGCCCGGAGCCACAAGCGGTGCCGTCCGCCTGGTCGGGGGAGAAGCCGAACGGGTGCTGCACTGTCAAGCCCCCGCAGGTCCAGGTCCGCTCGCAGCTCCCGTTAGACCGAAGACCATTGGTCCCGCTTTATATAAAGCAATAGAAGGTTTGCTGGGATACCAGCTATTACAGAGATTAAGTTCAGAATGCCCAAGGCACAGCCCTCTGAACGACAGTTCAAACCAACCCCTCTAAAACGAAAAAAGACGAACCCTCTAGGCCAACAGCTGCCTGCCGCATGATGCCCCGGCACCATCCACGGTAGGAGGAGCATCAGCGCCATCGCCACCACCGCGGTCCGCATCCCGCATGGAAGGAGAGGCCGGCGAGTGCGGCGTCTCATCTAGTCAAACACGCTGCCGCGGGGGGCGTAGCTTTGGACAAGAGGCGGCGATCTTTGGTTTGGCCCTTGGACAGTTGCGCTTGCCGCCGCGGCTGCTGTCTTCTCTAGCTTTTTTGGGGGCTCCTAGCTCCTTGCGCGGCGCAAATTCGCATTCCTCCCCGGGGTCGTGTCGAGGAACATCTGCCGGCTCGCTGGCGCCCGTTCCCACACGGCCCAGTAAAGATCGCCCTCGCCCTCGCGTTGTGCTCACGGCTCGGGCGTCCGCCGCCTCGCCCGTGGTGGCCGTGGACCGGCGACCTCGAGACTGCATCCGTTCCAGTTCCATTCCATCCTCTCCACACACACACATGTCGCCCACCACCACTTGGAAAAAAATCTTTCGTGTATGGAAAGAGAAACTGATGTGACGAGGTTCAAAAGTCCATGCGGCAGCTTAGATTACGAGGTGAATTAGGTAGTTGGATTACGAGCAGGCCAGCGCTACCAGATTAGGCAAAGCTCCAGTAGCGATACTCCGATAAAACGATGGAACAGACACCTAGGCCGAGGCAATATTGCTAAACTAATCTTGCTCTGAGCAAATCTCATATGTACAAGTTTGGCTAAAACTCCATAGCGCAAACTGTGAAAGCATATCCACGTGCAATGTGGAAATTAAGGACGGACGATCGTTCCGATGAGGCGACCAAACCCGACAGCAGGTCCGTGATAAACAATTCTCCTGACAGCCTCGGATCTTGGATTCTTGAGAGCCAGCAATGTATCTGGCCAAACTTCAGTGTACATTCCTCGGCTCAGTCAACAATTCCAGCTGATTCTGTCAAATTTGCATGAAAACAAGCCTTCATGGAAACAGCATCTAATGCAGGTGTAGACTACAGATACTTGACAATGATGTAGGATGGATAATGTTTTGCTGGAGAAGAAAAACGGCCGCCAGACTCAAGTATAACATATGCTTGCTCAGTTTTTTCCCCTTCTAGTGCGATGCAATAGAGAAACGTTTTCTCTGACAAACGGGCCCCTTAATGGAGGCCCACTAACTACTAGCCCAGCGAGGTGGCCCGGCGGCTCCAGGGCTCTCTAGGTCTAGGGGCCACAGGTCAGCTTCCAACTTGTTTTGGCCCCCTTCGGATGGTATGGTTATGAAGGAATTTGGATGGTTTGAAGGAATTCTGGAGAAATCTGTGAGGGGAAAATACTGTTCCAGATGAAAAAAGAAGCGGATTAAGCTGGGTTTAAAGACACGCGAACGGAGCCTTTATCTATCTAATCTAATAGAAGGGGAAAATCCCCCACACAGTCGGAACAAGATCCTGTAAAAGATTGATGGAAGGAGACCGTAATTGCTATCAGTTCTGTAAAGGGAATCCCTTCTGTAAATTGTTCAGGTGCTAGCAAACAAATTGTGACTATAGAAGCCGTAAATATCGTCATTGTGTTGTAAATTGATTTGAAATGCTATTGTGAATGCAATGCACAAAAGATGTCACTGGTTACTGTAATTTCATATGGCTGCACAAAAGATGTTGTTGGTTACTGCAATTTCATTAAGATGCACACAATGATGCATATTACTGCAATTTGATGTTTCCTTCGAGCTTTATACCGGTCTTCCTTCAATTGATCAATTCAAGCACAATCCAATAAGGGAGGACAAAAAAAAATCAAATTAGAAGAAGTAGTTTGCCTGTTTGCCAATAGAGAGCAATAGATGACACGAGTGTAGAGATTTTGGCACCAGTTTGCCGATGGAGAGCACAAGCAGAAACCTGACCCTGGCGCACCACTCGCGTCAAAAACGTGAGCCCGGCGCGGCGGCGCCAAAGCAGTGAGGATTCGCGCCAGAAAAAATGCAGTACGTGCGTCGTGCTCGTGCCTGATGTTGGGCCGGCCCAGCAAGACAAGTGGGGAAGCTCCACCGTCGGATGGGAGTGAGCGGCTAGATGCACAGCGACTGCAGAGATAAGTCATTTGGTCGACTTCCGAGGATCTTGTTCCACACAGTCACCCACCCGCTCGCACCACTCGTCTCCATCCTACCCACCGCCGCGCCCGATCCCCACCCGAAACCCTAGAGCCCATCCTCGCCACCGGCCGCCATGGCCGAGGCAGTCGACTACAAGGGCAGCCCATCCTCGGCGGTGGCCGCTGTCCCCGCCTTCGAGGAGGAGACCGATGAGGACAGGTGTGTCCGGATCCTCTCCACCTTCGGCTTGGACCTCAGCCTCGCCGTCGCCTCGGCCCCCGTCGACCCCGACTCGACTGATCTGGCAGCTCCAGCTCTGCCGCTTGGGGCGGATCTGGTCAGGCCCGCGCCGCCTGCTCTACGTCACCTGGCTGGCGTCGCCTGGAAGGTGGTAAACCTGCCCTTCGACGTGATCGCGGGCGGAATGGGCGTCGTCCTGGGCACCCTGCGACACGGCGCACGGGCGTTCAACGGCGCGCTCGCCTTCCTCGGCTTCTCTCCTGGGCAGCACAAGCTCTCCTCAGATGCCGTTGGGACTAGGGCGACACACCTTCCCCGTGTCGTCTTGGTCCTCCAAGGCGCAATGTGCAAGCGATGCGTTCTACTTGCCCGGCGTGGAGAGCCGGGGTCCCAAATACAAATGGACCGATGCTGATAATGTCGCGCTTGGATGATGAGGTAGTGCGGTTCGGGATAGACAAGATGCTTGCTCTGCAAATGGTTGCTACTGAAGGAGGCGCTACCTCGCTCGTTCGTTGCCCTTGTTTCTGCCGGCCTCCTCCTCCTCCCGATGCACCATGGGGAGCCACGCGCGGCCTCCTGCCTCATGCTTCAGTGTGGGGAGCCGCGCACGGCCTCGTGGCGTTCCAGCAGGAGGGCACCTTCAATGTCTACCTGTTCTGCCTCAACTGTGGCTAGAACAATGTGCGTCTCCCACGTCTGCCGTTTGGATGCACTACCGGTTGTCGATGGGGGATGGCATCAGAAGTGGATGGCATCACAAATGGTGGTATTTTCTTCCATGAGCTTCCAACCACGCCGTTGGCCATCCTGTTCACGGGCCACCCAACTATGTTTACTGATCAACATATTGATGATTATGGGCGCCGCTGCTGGGATTTTTATCCTGGTACTGAGGACATACCCATGAGCTCTGTTGGTTTCCTAGACGGAATTCACTTCGTTGCAGTTTCTGCTGATCTTACAGTGGTGATTGGGCCAGTTGAAGTCACATATCCTGGGCCCGTTATATCAGAGCAGTTGATTTTGCTTGAAATACCAGCAGAGGGGGCTTCAGGGATGGTGCCATGGGGCAGTTATGGTAATCATGTCTTCAAATGTGGTGAAAGAGTTTATGTCTGTGTCATGAAACGTTCTATACCCAATGTAGAGAGCTGGGTACAGAACGTATCATGACACAGACATAAACTCTTTCACCACATTTGAAGACATGATTACCATAACTGCCCCATGACACCATCCCTGAAGCCCCCTCTGCCGGTATTTCAAGCAAAACCAACTGCTCTGGTATAACGGGCCCAGGATATGTGACTTCAACTGGCCCAATCACCACTGTAAGATCAGCAGAAACTGCAACGAAGTGAGTTCCGTCTAGGAAACCAACAGAGCTCATGGGTATGTCCTCAGTACCAGGAAACCAACGAAGTGAGTTCTCTATCTTATGAAGATGTGGTGAGCAGTATAGTTTACTCTCTGGATCGCCTCCCTGGTGGTGGATGTGCCCTTGTCCGCACATATGACATAGGCTACTTTGCAGTATACCTGGGGGCAAACCAGGCCCTGGTCGTTCCTGCTGCAGTGCCAATGAATCAGCTTGCCAACACTATATACATAGCAGACGACGATGGAGTAACCAGCACTGCGAGGATCTGGTCAGTCAACATTGCTTCAGGTGAGACGGACTCCATCCCGTTCCCACCTGGTGTGATTCCTGGTCATTACGGGCGTGCAACGTGGGCAGCTCCCCCGCCTCTCAACATGCCGTTCTGGCACTGTGACACTACGATGGGACGCTGAAACAGCTTGTCTGAATCTCTGGTAAGAAAACTCGGTGCCTATCAGTAAAACTTTCTTCTGATTCTCGACATGTCTGATAGCCTAACCTGTTTTGTATATACACCAATACATCATTGATCCAAAGTCCACACTATTATTATCTATTTAAAACAAGGAGAAGCATAAACAGTTAAAATGAGAGAAAATAAAGGCATATGATTTATTCACGAGGTAAATTTCACTGTAACAGGCATAATGAACAGAAGACTTGTACTCCTGTTAATAAGATTAGAAGATGTAGTGTCTATCTTTTTTTACTCCCATTTGATTATAGTTGATACATAGTTCAGTTCTAAAATAACAGTAGCATCCATTAAACTAACTACTGAGGTGACTAATAAGTAATAGCAATTTAATCAATGCCCCCAAAAGTCAATGGCTAGTTTATCGTTTGCTGCTAAAAGGGTAGTGCTCTGAAGACAAAAGGTGACAAACTATTCCGCTTTTCAGATGGTAGGATAGGAATCTGAAATCATAAAAAACAACGATCTTAGTGAAACAATGGAGCATTGCCTTTCCTGACCCATCATTTCAGGTTTCAGCAAATCATATCCCTGTGTAGACAAGCACATATATTTATCCTAGTTCTGTAATGATTCATAAATTGAGACAGGGGTACAAACCATACCATTCTAGTTTATTGTATTGCCAACTTTATATTAGGAATTATAATCTTCTCTCCACCAAGCAAGCAATTCCCAATGGCTAGCTTATTTCTTTTCTTCCTCCAAATGGGCAAGCAGCAGGTCAAATTGCGAACACACCTCCTCCTCTCTGTTGTTCTCTCCACCAAGACCTTAGCAGCAACTGATAGCACTTCCTTTTTTTAGGAATATAGCTCTTCCTTTTTCCTTCTTGCAACCGATAGCCATTTGATCTGAAACTACAACATAACCATAGGCAACTTAGCCTGATGCAGAAGAAGGCAAACCAAAAAATCTGGCAAAAGTATGGCCCAAATCTGTAGCGTGATGATGACCTCCTACAAAAATCAAATGAATTAATCAATTCCTTGCAAGATTCACCTACCTGACAATGGTCAATCAACCAAAAGACAATAGGAGTAGAAATCAACTAACTAATTACTTGGAAGATTAGAAAATGGAAGTTAGGATAGGAACAATTAAATTCAGAAATCAATTAATCACCATGGTTAAGGGGCTGCAACATTTTTCATAATCTAAATTTCACCAAATTTTTTCTTTGTTAGTATTGAGTTATCCTGTATGAATGAAAGCTGATATAATTATTGCTCAAGAAGAATGATAGTGAACCAGATTTTTTCTTTGTTAGTATTGAGAAACTGAGGAAACTTTTCAGTTAGTCAACCAGATTTTCATTTGCACAAATCCAATATTTTTTCTGTGAGTACTGTATGATTGCGTGAAACTCTAGCATTTCAAAGGGGCCTAAGTATGCAACCTGAATCCGTTTTTGGTGATACAGTATGTTTTGAGTGCAATTACCAATTTCACAAATGATATTTGACTAGAAGCCGTTACCAATTTGATAGCAAGCTTGATAGATACTAGTAACCATAATAATTACAGGTATTGACGTCAATTTAATCTGATAGTCTGTTGCTAGCTATGATCTTGTGTGCAGTTAACATTAGTATTTGCAGTTCCTATATTTACATCTGTGATAATGACAATGTTCGTTGATGCAGGTTTGAGTGTCCAGGACATTTGAAGAGGCATCTCATGAAGTGTCAAAGCTACTGAACGTATCAGTCACTGAGAAATTTCCAATTTGCCGCATTCCACGATGCCGCTTTTATGTTTATTCCTTGCTTGAACTGGACATGTCTGTCTTTACTTCCATAATCTTGAAAGTCTATGCAAATGAATTACGTATCAGCACTAAATTTATCTGTGGTGCTAAGTTTCAGCTTGAGAAAACATCATTTCTGAATTCTGTGTTTTTCTGATTATTCTGAATATTTTTTGTCGTCCGGGGTTTGTATCCCCATGTTTTCCAAACGGTAGCAAATAATTTTTCCCACTAGGGGATTCTGTCTCCTGGGGGACAGGGATGGCAAGTGCAGTGGAGAAAACCCCTTGGGGGCTTAAACACACGTGGTTTTGGGCACCCTTCATCCAAAGGAGCCCTTAATAAGGGGTAATTTCCTTCCATTTCTTTCTTCACCTGCAAGTAGTCTGCTAGCTGCAGCCGCCGGCCTCCCTCCCTGCCTCCCTCCCTCCGATCCTAAACCTTAGCCCTGAGGAAGAAGATGGCCAGCAGGCAGCAGGGTGAGCAGGCACCCTAGCTCATCGTGATGCCGCCGATCCTCGGCTCGCCCTCGCTGCGCGCGATCTGCCTCCGTCACCTGTTGGCGCGGTCGTCGCCAGCGCCGGCGCCTAGCAGCAGCAGCATTGTTCCCAACGCCGCGACGCTGGCCACGGCTACGAGGCCGGTGAGTGTATACACTCCTCCGATCCGCCTGCAGGCCTCTTATTTACTGATTCAATTCGTTCTTGTATTAATCTCCTCGGTATATATGATGATGGGTCCTCCTCTCGTGGTCGTGGATGATGAATCGTGCAGTGCGCTAGCTAATACATACTCTGCATCGATCGCACGCCATGGGACTTGCAACTTATCTCTCGATCCAAATCTTAGCAGAAGGTGCAAAAAAAACTCTCTACAACACACCTTCATTCCGTCCCTGCACTTATATACTACATCTCCCAAGAGTTTGTACTCCTGTTGGTTAGTATACTCCTGTTGGAAGGAGTTCTTTTTTTAATACCAAAAGTCGTTTTTTTAGGAAATATCTTAAGGTCAACTTTGAAAGAACAGATGATCGACCAATGCCTAGCTACTGAATGTCTTGTCTTACTAGCAATCATTCTCCCTGTTCGCTTAAGACATGATTGAAAGTACTGTTGGCTGATTTGTTGTGAGAGAAAAATACTGTTCGTTCGCTGAAAAAGTACGGTGTTTGACCTGCTTAATTATATATCGTCGCCTCGCCTTCATGAAAATCTTGTCCGGTCGACCATTATATTATCGAGTATCAATCAACGATATACGTGTATATATCTCAATAATAACTGTACCGGTCTATATACCGTCATTCTACAGGGTTTTCCTCTGTCGATTCAGGAACTTATATCCCAATGGGTGCCAGGGAGGCCTGGGGTCCCTAAGAGGATAGTCTTTACTTTATTTGCAGGTCTTTCATGGGCTCTGGAAGAACCGTAATAAAATGGCCATTGAAAAATGCTTCCCACTAAATCCTGATCCTGTGATTCATATGGCTATTAATCATCTGCAGATGTGGGCAGATTTGTCCAAGGAGGCCGACAAGCAGGTCAAGCTGGAGGGGGCAATACAGCGTTTGGCGGGATGGATGAACCAGAAGAAAAGTTTTCAAGGATCCTATTCAGATATTATGGTCATATAGGGCGTAGTAAGGATGAAAACGGTACGGAAATATCCCGTACCGAACCGTATTGTTTTCTATATTTAATCCGACCGAATTCGTATTTTCGGACAAATTCGAATTTAGTTTGAAATTCGGAACGGCAAATTCGAAATCGGAATGAAAACGGTTTAGACATTTTTCCGACCATTTTCTACCTTTCTACTTTTAATTCGGAATATCCCGAATTCGAAATTCGGTTTAAACCTAATTTGGCCTACTAGAAGTCCAACCTTAGAAAATTTGTATTTTTTCCATACGATCTTGGATGAAGATGATTTTTATATGAAAATTATAGCTCTCGACGAGATCTACAACTTTCTAGTTTTCAGTTTTTTCATTTGAGTTCTTTAAGATGTTCAAAAAAAAATTAAACAAAGTTTCAGCGGTATATTAAATCGCTTACTTGCCTTAGAAAAATCATGTCTTCCTTACATGTTGTCGAATGGAGATACATTTTAAGAAAATTGTATAACTTGTTAATTATTATTCACTTATTAATTGTTATGCACTTCGTCCTCTGTATTGATTTTTCGTATACCGACCGTGTTCGACGTAATTTCGCTCGAATTAGTTCGTTTTCAAAATTCTCGATATTCCGTAAGATCGTGTTCGTTTTCGTGTCCGGCTTTACCCCTTTCGTTTTCGTTTTCGTATTCAAATGTAAAAGTAGAAAACGTTTGAGAGGTTTTTAGACCGTGTTTTCTATCATAACATATGTCTGTAATAGCCAGCAGAACGTTCTTCGTTTTGTTTCTGTAAGCTGGCGCTGAGGTGTGGAGTTTGCTCTTTCCTTTTTAAACTGGAGACCCCAGTGTGTAAAACCTTGTTATTGGCTTTTTCAAAAGCCGAGTTAATCACCGTCATTCTATGTTTTTGCAACCTACCATGATTCTATATATGTTTTTTTCCCTGCAGAGTAGACACAACTTGTGCAACTACAGAGATTTTTTAATTTATTTTTAACACATTTTGTAAACTAATTTTAAATCCAACACTGTTTTTTTTTTCTTCAAAACTAACACTTTTGGTCGCGTCTATTGCCATGGCGCGGCGAAACGCCTGTGCCGCGCCATGCATGGTGCCGCGGCGGGAGGATGATGTGGCGACGACCGGGGCTGCTGACCGGTGACGTGGCAGGGTCTGCCGCGCCATCCCTAACGGCACGGCAGGACCTAGACGTAGACAGAAGATCGGTTGCTGTCGGTGAGGATCGGCAGCGACGCGACCATGGACCCCGGCTTCGCGTCGCAGTTGAACGGCACCTGCAACTCCAACCCCAACACCTTCGCCTTCCTCGACCCCTCGCCGGTGGGCTCCGACCAGGTGCTCTAGTCTGACATGAGGTCACGCAGCACGGTCGACTGCTGCGCGTCCAACAAGGGTGCCTTCTTCGGCGATTTCATGGCGGCGATGACCAAGCTCGGGAGGATCAGGGTCAAGACGCCGGCCACCGACGGCGAGATACGTCGAGACTGCCGGTTCCTGAACTAGTTGCTAGTTAATCTCGTCGGCAGTGCTGCCGCGACGCATT